GCTCCAACTTCTATTCCAAACCCCAACCTAAAACCACCATGGACTCCCTGATCATTTCACTGAATCCAACCCCTAAATTCTAAATCTATTTCTAACCCTGATCCCAAACCCTTAACACCCATCCCTTCCTTCATCTAACCTTGATCCCAGTCCTAACTTAGAACTCCAAACCCCAAACCAAATCCATCATGAACTCTCTGCCCCATTTACTGATCCCTGATCTTAACCACAAACCCTAAAATCCAGACCTAACCCCCATTTTCTAACCATAATTCAAAAGCCCAAACTCCCACCACTTCATCTAACATGGATCTTCATTCTTCACCCTCAGCAACCTTAAAATCCCAACCTAAAATCTCAAATTTTGTCATAACAAATATATCTAGTAAACTGAAAACAACAAACTCTAAATTTGCGACCTAATCGTCGAGTCATAAATAAACTGGAATTCAGTCTTGGGTCAGTTTGATTTGTCAATGAATCATTTAGACTGGTTTTGTGAATAGGACAAACCCATTCACTGAAAAGATCTTCACTCACAAACTCGGATGTTAAGATGTCTAGTGAATACTGACATTTTTTCCTCACATAAAGTAGTTGTATGGCTTCAGAAGTCTTGGCATATACTGCATCAAAAGGACGGAAGAAAGGAAGAGGTGCAGATAAATACAGATGGAAGCAGCATTGAATAAAACTGACCCTGCGACTTGGCTTGACAGAAACTGTTGGTTTGTGCAAATCGTCTTGTGTCCTCCTTATGTCATTCACGGCATGTCTGAACAGATGGATGTTAAACTCGAGTGGTAGCGTGATGCTACAGGCGGTTTAGTGTTTCAGGGCTCACTGTGAAGTCTGTCTGAATATGACGAGGATAAGAATGGGACAGATTTCTGATGTATGGGACATGAGGCCAAATTCATATTCAAGTGACCATAATGACCTTCAAGCACAAATCATACCACATCAAAGGAATGAATACAAATAACCTTACTGTAATTTACTCCAAAGAGTTTGGGATTAATCAAGGTGACCTCTGTACCCTTTACTGGTCCAAACAAACTGACTGACAAAAGAGCTGAATGCCCACTTCTGGAGCAGCCTGGGTTCCAAAGGTATTTTCCCCATTAATTTCAAATATGGCACTCCAGATAATTGTAGAGCTCTGAGCTATGAACTAAAACTCCTGAAGAAGCATTAACAAATAAAATAAAATAAAATAATAAAAACTAAATAAAATAAAATAATAAAAAACAATTAACTAGAATAATAAAATTAAAATAGTAATGAAATAATTAAAATAAAATACCACACAAATAAAATTACCACACGTTATTTTTAGTTTTTGGTGGAATATTATGAAACTAGAAATGTTTTATAATCCGCCTGTGGAAAACAACTGCCAGTAGACAACAACAACTCTAGATTGTGCTGAGAAATTTTTAAACTTGGATTTTTATACACATTGTGCATTAACTTTGGCAGTCCTATAATAAAACATGAAAGCTAAATAAACTAAAACTATAAAAAAATGTAAACTAACATTGATAGCCTAGACAAAACTAAACAGAATAATAATAAAAAATACTGTTCAACTATGAATATACAGTAGTAACAAAAATATTTGGGCACTTAAGTCACACTTAAACATATCTCAGTGTCACTGCATTAGGTAAACTATAAAACAAAGTGTAGTCAGGAAATAAAAAACGCTAGAGAAACGCTAACGCCTCAAAACACATTCATTTTTGCAATTCCCTTTGTCAAGGTTTTTGGTATTTTGGTAAAACATGTGAAATGTTAAATGTTTTTAGTCAAACGATTTCGAAGTGTGTTTCTGCCATCCTTTTAAACGTTTTTTTTGATAATTTGTTATATAATGCAATCACATTTATACGTTTTTAAATGTTCATTAAATTTTCCAATACCTTTTGGAATCAGTATAATTAGCACAATCCTAGAAATGCTCCTACCACAATTATGCATGTGTGCGCTTTGGAGTGCAATTGTGCTTCACACTGTATGTGAAGCGCATAGAGGCTGTAATCCACCATACTGATCACTGGGGCTTAACGAGGATTTAATGTCTCTCTCGTTAACCTTTGACCTGCACTGACACAGAGGAGAGACATACTTCACATAAGCTCTCAAAATACCTCTCTAGATCTTTCTCTTCTTCACCTTATCTTTCCCATTTTCTTGTGATTACCCCTCAGGGATGAATTATAACATTATATTGAAAATCGAACTCATTTTATTTCTCCAGTTCTAATTACTGTAAACAGACAGTCTAAACCTTAGAGTTGCAAAATACAGTGTCTCATTCTCATTACTGTAACATGAAGATAATATGTTAAAATATGTATGTATCATGGTTAGGGTTGGGTACCGTTCACATTTTAACCGGTACGGTACCAGTATCGGTACCTATTTAAAAGATGTACATTATACTTTACAAAAGTAATACAAGAGTAATATATTTCTGTTACATATTAAACGGTACTTTTATTTTGACAGGTGTTCTGAAAATGCTGTTAAAAAAGTCCTAATAGGAGATTGCTCTTTATTTAATGTTATGATGCATTTCGGACTGTGTAATATTATTTAACTGCTTTGATCATTAAGATCTCTATACCTTCCCTCTCTGTCCTGAATCTTTAATCTATATATTCCCTCACTTTCCTTCTCCCTTTCTCTCTGGGTTATATCAGACGCTCTGATTGCTACGGGTCATAAATCACACTGGCTCAAGCTGCTTTTAAAAAAGGCTTATATGTTCTCAGTCAAGGTGTCAGTTAGAGCTAAAGCCATTGAAGGGCTTTTTTGTATTCAATACTAAAATGTTTCGAATGAGCTGCTTTTCTACAGTATAGACAGGTGCATGTGGATCGACTTTTACTGCCTTTTCTTTTCCTATGAATGACTCACAATTAATCTGGGCCTAAAACCGCAGGCCTAAAAAACAACAACTGTGAGTGCTTCCAACTGCAATTAGAGATCAAATTATATGCTTTCTGGGCTCTGACATGCTGGACAGGCTGTACGCATACGCCGATTCTTGAGTACTAAAACAGACAAAAAAAAATGATGTGTCATAGAATTAAATTGAATTCATCTACTAAATATGTTCAGAGATAGTGACTTAAATTTGGTTTCAACATCCATTTTCTCACAAATGTTTTTTTTCCCCACCCGTCAACCCATATTGCTGTGAGATATTACATTAATATATGTAAATACTTAATATGAATACAGACAAATCTAGAATTTACTTCAGTGAATGAATACATGAATACCACCGAATGGTTTCGAACACATTTTCAGCATAGCTGAAAGAAAGATAAAATGATAAAACAAAAACTATATAACCCACCAGCATCTGTATGACCTTGTTTATTTAAAAATAATGAAAATAAATATCAAAATAAGACTTTAGGGTGAGGGATGACTTTGATACTGCCGGATTTAATAAAAATAATCATATATCTCTCAGTCTCACAAAAGTAGGGACACATCTGTGAAAACCAAAAGAAGAAGTGTAATTTCTAAAATGAATCTTTTGTCAGGACATACAGTAGTGTTTATTATACAAAAAAAATTATTTGTATTAATCTATACTTTAATATATAATTTAAGTATATATATTTATGAAGTATTGAGTTATGATCTGAGGGCAGTTGACTTTAGGGGAAGTGAAAAAAATATATTTAAAAATAAAATAAAATTTGATTAAATTATATTATTATAATAAAATAAAGGAACAAATAAAAGAACATTCTAGTAATCATGTAAATTGGCAAAATATCACTATTTTCAAAACTAATAGCAGATACATTTGTTTTGTCCCAGGTCTCAAGAATCAGTGATATATTGAAAATGACTGCAGAGCTGGCTTTTTTATTGAATACCTGAAGTAATCTGAGAAAAGTCAACTGCTTGATTAATTGGGGAGAATCTAAAATCAGTTAGATAAAAAAGTTATCATTAGCAATAATCAACAGCACTGTAAAATAATCAGTATTGATTCACTGCCCCTTGAGAGCAAGACACTGAACCAGCAAACCATAATTTGTAAGTGAGACCGTGTAGGTGTCTGGGACACGGCGTACGTGAGAGTAGGAAGTGCTTGTGTGCTGGAAAGTGCATTACTGCAAAATGCAACGCATGAAGCTTTAAATAGCTGTTTGGCATCCGTTTTGGGAATAATTTTGATTTCAGCTACCTTTAAAGCCAATGAAATGGCTTGATGACTGCTGTTTTCTTTCCTGGATTGGAAGTAGGACATATCCAAGGAGTCAATAGCCAGTAGCCTTTTGCCCTTGGTCTGTTTCACTGAGGTGTGGTCATATATACGGAAATTTAGGCAAAATTTTGTGGGCCAAAAATCCAATAACATAGTAATACATAAAGCACACCAAAGTCACCAAGCAGCTTTTTGTTGGTTAGCACTGCAGATTTGCACGACCAGTTTAAACATGAGTAAAATCTGCGTGGGGAACTTTTTTGCCCTCACGCAAAACTCCTTATTGTGCTGATTCCTATTAAAATGACTGATTTCGCTTGCAAAATTTGGCCAAGCAACAGGCATACACTAGCATATAAATTAGCCTCAGCGCTAACAGACGTGCAAAAGAGTTAAGAGTCTTTAAGTATGCTGGTTTGTGAATTTTACGTGTGTGTGTTTGTGAAAGCGAGTTATGCAACAGTCCTTGTACAGAATGCAGGATATAAATATACTGAGCACACAGGTGCATGTTTGTACACTACTCTAATTATGTGTCAGAGACTATTTTTACCCACAGTGCTTTTCTGCACAGCGAAGGTCATAGAAAGCAGAAACAGCTTGTTCTTCAGCGTGAGTCGGCACTTTGAGAAAGCCGAGGAGTGAATTATAAAACTGCTAAGAAGGGCAAGATGGACTACTCGACCAATTAAGGGGCCTTTCCATATTTTAGGTCGTGAAAATACACACAAAACCCAAAAACATTTAAAAGCCTCCTTACCTGTCCCTCCTCTCTGCACAACCAGCGTGGCCTCCGCCCTAACAGGACACTCTTTTAGCAGCTCCACCACCTGTGTGTGTGATAGCGTTAGCGCGGATTGCTGGTTAATTTCCACAATCAGATCGCCCTCGCACAGCCCCGGGCATCCCTGCGCCTCCAGAATCTGCTTCACACGCTGTCCTCCATTACAGTCTGCTATGGTGAATCCAAACCCATCCGCCCCTTTCACCATGGTAACTGTTAACAGCTCTCCTCCGGCCGCTCCTGAAGACGCCATTGAGACGCTGTCCTCCAGCGGTCCTGCATCCAGGTGGGTGTCTCCAGGGTGGGGCTGCGCCAACATCACTTGCATTGGGTCGACGAAGCGAGCAGTGCGGGAGATGTACTCCATGTAGCTGTCGTAGCTATTCCGTCCGTTGACCAGCAGAGGGCGATCAATTAGGCTGAGGGGGGACAGCAAAGTGCTGGCTGCGTCCTCCGGGTCGTACGGAAGAGGGTAACCCCTGCAAAGGACGAGGGTTACGCTTTGTCCGATTGGCACCGACTGGAAAAGCTTCACAACGTCAGTGTGGGTGGTGCCCAGGACGCAGACATTATTAATGTAGACAATCACGTCTCCTGGAAAACAATTACACACAAATAAAAGATATATTAGCATATGTTAATTTTGGTAGGTATATATATATGGACCAGAAGCCAAGGCTGATTCGAAAGGTAGGCATAATTACCTTAAACATAATTATACTTCTTTACAAGATACCACATTCCCAGAAAGCATTGCAATGAGCACAGTGATAAAATGGATCCAAGATGGTGGACGGGTCAAAAAATTGTTGATTCTTATATTTGATTCAGTTAAGAAAAGTACTGATACAAGTTCATTACAAATAATAATTACAAATCAACTATGCGTTCATTATTTGTGTGTATTTTTGTGCTTATGAGTGCTAACCCTTACGAAAATTAACCATGGGTTTACAGATAAAACCATGGTTACTATAGTTAAACCATGGTAACCACAAATTAACCACGGTTTTTCTACACTAACCATAGTTGAACCATTGTATTTGTAGTAAAACTGTGGTTATACAAATGGTAATCAATACGCCAAAGAACCGGTTACTACACTTTTACTACAATTAAACCATGGTTAATTTTCCTAAGGTAAGTTCTGTGTGTATTTTTGTGCCAATAAGAATGTGGAGCCATTAGCTTAGCAACACGGTAATATCTAACTATTTTGACTATCTGCACAATTTATTTGTGTGTGCTGTGTATTGTTGTGCATATGAGAGTGCTAATTCATTAGCTTAGCAATATGGTAATGTCAAAATATCAAGTTTGACTATCTGCTTCATTAGTTGTGTGAGCTGTGTATTTTTGTGCCAATGAGAATGTGGAGTCATTAGCTTAGCAACATGCTAATATTAAACTAAATATTTTGACGATATGCTCCATTATTTGTGTGATCTGTGTATTGATGAGAGTGCTAAGTCATTAGCTTAGCAACATGCTAAAATAAACTATACATTTTGACCATGGAAATAGCAATCAACTGAAATGCTAGTAAAGTTTTTATCATAATTTGGAACCAAGCTTACTGAGAATACGAACCCTTTAAGAATGATCTAACAGTCATATAAGATCCAGCTGGATACACTGAAATACCATTTTTTAAATAATTTTTTTCTCTCTCAGAAAATGGTAAGTTTATTCATTAGATTTTTTTCCCATTCTTATTTGGAAACTTATTTTTGAACCTTATCTCATTTGGGCTGTTTAGGATTGGTTCCAACTTATCATTAAACACCATTAGTATTTCTTTAAGATTGTTTAACTAGAGGAGTCAAATCTCCTGTGTGCTTCACATGAAAAGCACCATTTGTGTGGCTCACTGCCTGTGAAGAATGTTCCAAATCAATCGTTTTGCCCGACGAAAAAGAAAACTGACAGCAAAACGGCTCTAGTTTTTGGAACAGAGCTATCAAGGGGAAAAATACATTTTACCCAATAAGAACAGTCTGTCTAATCAGGATGAAAAACTTTCCCCCAATTTGCAACAATTGCCGTCATCCAATATTTATTCATGTCGTCTCCCCTGGCAACTGTGACAATTACAGCACACCAGTTGAAGGAACAATTTGAGGGACCTACTCAATCCTTTTCTCAATCCTGCAGTATCGCCATACCTCAGGACTTAATTGTGATCTTCAACTATCAAGAAGTTTACCAGTCCTTCCAATGTTTGTTCACTCATGCCAGAATGTGAAATTGAGCTTGCATTTACATTTGCGTAGAGTATGTTTCGGGCCAAATATAGGCTTTGCCCTCCATCTTTGAATGCTGACAAAGAATTAAATATCAGAAATGCAATTATTATGGAAATGAGACGATGCTCAATATTCCAGCAAATGTGGCGAATGCATTTGTGGGATAAAAATGATCACAGGGTCTCACCCGGTGTGTCTGTTGTGCTACAGGTTTCCTGGAGATATTTCATGCAGTGCCGTACGCGTCTATCGATAGGCTTGTCCCCTCCTGACTGTTGTGTGTTGTGTGCAGGAATTTTAATTAATCTCAGTAAATAAGTTCGACATTTGCCTAGAGCCTCTGGTGTTCCAATCAATAATTTCACATGCTTCCAGAGAGCAAATGATATCGGTGTGACCTCGCTGTTTCACACCTAGCTTTATGTCAGCATCAATCTGGGCCGAAGCTCCACAGGGCAAACCAGATCACTGCACTCCCACAAACAAGAAATTATCATCCACTTAAAATTCAAACTTCACAAATTAAAAATTCAACAACTCCCATATTATGTTCTGCTTCCTTATAATGATGACACTGGACAATAAGAGCCACTAAAATTGTGTAAATAAACTTCAAACTAAGGCTGGGTTATAGCGATCACCTTTTATGTGACTAGTATGAGAGCATTTAAATAGAGATGTAGTAATAGTGTGTCTGATTTAAATATTAATAGCAAAAATGTACAGTAAGTTTAATTCATATGGTCAGTTTCAATTAATCTAATTATTCGTTTAAATGGCCCTTGCGCCGCATTTTGTCATGTAGTAGATATATTTATTATTTGAGGATATTTTGTTTTGTTTATTGCTACTTATTGTTATATTAAAATTAAAATTCTTAAATATTTTTCTTCTTCATTTAATGACAATCAGCGGGACAAACATGCCTTGAGTGATTTTAACTACATTTTTACTACTACTATTTTAGTTTACATTAAACATGTTTAAATTTTACTGGGCTGAAATTATACTTTATATAACTATTCTTCTATGTCATGAAATTTCAATTATTTCGCTGAAATTGTTTTGACACTGAGATTTTTTTTCCATGTAGAAAAATGAAATTGCAATATAAAAAATATTTTACCTATTAAACTTATTAAATATTAAATATATCAATATATAATGCTGTATCAAATATATATTAACTAAAAAAAACAATAGACTCTGAACTACAGTCTTGTTCTGAAGAGAAAGTGGGGCTGTGTAAACTGATGACAGTAAGACAACATAAGAGGTGCTCTGGGAGCAAACGTCTGAGACATCTTATGTCTGTGCATGCATGGAAACCCAGAGGAGCACTGCTCTGTGACTGGCATTCTAAACAAACACAATCAATACACAAGCCCCTAAACATCGCTGCTGAGCCACAATAGACATTCTATACAAATGAAGCTCTAAACATCAAATGCAGAGATCCTCCAGCAGGCGTATGACTTGTGTGCTTCCTGTCCCTCAGCAGCACACTGGTGCACCTGATTCAACTCATTATCTGCTTGTTAAGTTCTTTATGAGAGGACTCGGGCACAGCTGTGAGGGGCAGAGTAAACATCAGCACCGCAGAGGCATCTATAGTGGGCGTGGATGGGGCAGATGGCAGGGCTCTAAGACACAGGAAGTGAAGCATGTCACACAGCAAATCCCAGCACTCTGCATGATAGTTTTAATTTATTAAGAAAACACCTAGTCGGGAGGACAAGAGAGAGAGGGATATGTGGCATGTTTACGTCACATTAATGTTAATTTGTGGATGAGGTGTTAAACAGTTATGATTATTTGTGGTGGTTAGTGTTGAAGTAATGTTTTTTTTAACATGTTACATAATCACAAAATATGAGTAATACTGTATGACAGTGAGACTTGGCTTAGCAAACATCCCTAATGAATAGCTCTAATTATTAGAAAATCGCATATAATAGTGTACATTCAAAATTAATAACAAATAACCAATAATTATCTTTATGTTATGGTTAATAACTGACAAATGTTAAACAATTTTGCCTAAATAAATTAAAAATAAAACACTATAACTAAAATCAATCATATTTAAATGTTGTGAGTCAATTTATATCTAGATTGTAATGTACAGTATTCAAATACAGTATAATAATAATAATTTTGATATTACTAATGGTTTTAAAGATTAACATTATGTGAGCGTTAGATGAAAAAAAAATGACCTGCATTTCTAATATTCCCTGATTGCTGTGGTCATGCAGGTCTGTTTACTTATTAAATAAGGATTTTTATTATCTTTTGTGGTCTCAAAATAATATCTTGTGCCCTTTACATATTGTCAGGTTCCATGATTTCATATGTCGTAGCCACAACAAAATGAACCAAACCCATCCCTACTTGCTCTGTAAATAGTGATAAATAAGTGCAAATAATATGGAATCGCTTATTGTGTTGACATACAGTATGTCCTGCTGAAAAAGGAAGTTTGTGTAGAACATACCAAAAATAGTCTGTATTTCATTCTCATTCTAGAGTCCATCTGATTGGATCGGATAAATCATTAATATTTTTGCCAGGTTGTTCTTGGCTAAAAACTAATTTCGGAGTAAATTATCACAGATTAGCCTCAAAGCTAACACACGTTGACTAAAATCAACACAACTCAAATTTTAATTACATAGGGTTTTCAAAAGTAATATTCCCCAACAACAGTGATGGTCGTGTTCTGTATGTATGTCCATATATGAAGGACGTTTGTGTCTGTGTTCGCTTTCCTCTCCGAGCTCCCTAATCCATCAAAATTGAATATTTCACACTGGCGTAACCTGAAGCTCCTCCACAGCACTGTCTGCGTGTGCGTATGACTGCAAAACAGCATAAGTAGGACAAGGAGTCGAGAGGGAGCATGAAGGGTGGAAGAGAGGAGCAGAAAGGAGATGAAAGGAGCAGAAAGGATAATTTCCACAACTAACAACAACAATAATACAATAAAACGGCATCATGGGAGACGCATTGACTATGTTCTGAACTCTGTACAGTGGGTCCCTCTGAATGTAGGAGATATTTCAGTGCTGATGTATGTGTGTGTGAGTAATGCTGCCGCAGTCACACTCCAACTAGGTTGGACTGGAGTAACAGGGTTCATAAAGCACCTCTGTGATTAATGGACACGTGCCCTGCTGTGGATGACACACAAAGCCAATAAATACACTATCCGTAAATGCTCTTAACCCCTGGATGTCCCTAACACACTATCAACCAATAAAATGACAGATTCACACCGCAACCTCAGCAGTAGTGTGGGCACTACTGAGATTGAGAAAGACTGGCCCAGCTGGAAGCTCTGTTTGAGTGTGAATAGCACATTAGAGCCGTTCAAACATCGACCTGCAAGTGTGTGTGTGTTTACCTGTAGCCATTTTACCATCCTGTGCAGCAGGTCCGTCCGGTATGACACTTTTGACCTGTAGGAACTCATCTGGTTCGTCACCCCCGATGATAGTGAAGCCAAATCCCATGTTGCTTTTCTGCAGGGCTGAAGACAGAAAGCTGCCCTTCAGCTGAGTGGGGTCCCGTGTGAACAGAGGCTTTTCTGCCAGGGTGAAGACATGCAGATAGAAACATGAGATTGTAATCAAGCAGAAGATTTCCAGAAATTAATGGGTTATTTTGTAAAAGCCACTCCAAACCCATCAAAAGCAGCAGATCACATCACACTGGGGAATTGTGGGTAGAAGGCCAAGCGCTCTGCTTGCAGCCAAACATACAAGAACAGAGTGGAACATGATGGCTTGTTTTTTGCTCAAACCTCACTTTTGGCTCTTTAAACATACTCCAATGTTACACTCAACAGTGTTTAGCCTTGTCCAGGGCCGTCTCTCGGGACAGCCAAGACTTAAGCAAAAAAAAGCCAGGAGAAGAACCAGCACAGGCAGAGCGGTTCTTCTGCTCTCACAGAGCGGAGAAAAGCAGTCTTGAAAAACATTCTGGAGAAGCTGTTTCGCGGTAACCACACACCAACAAGGACTTTTGTACTGAAGAGCTGCTTCTTCGAAACTGAAGAGATGCCTACTTCAGTACATAGTATGGAGTTACAAGATGCCATAGTCACTCCATCTCGCTTTCCTAGTTGAGAGGTTCTTAAGTATTTTTAAGCACCATCTTGGCCAAGTCTAGTCCTTTAGCAGTTTCTGCCATGCGTTTGTTAGGGACAACAGCTGGTCCAGATACCCTGCTGAAAGACCAGCATGAATTTCCATGCTGATCCATGTTTGTTTGGTGCTGGTCCAGCTGGTGGACAAGCACCAGAAAAACATCTGGCACAGCTAGTTGACCAAAGTAGCTTTGTTTGTTAATATACATAATGGGGATGTTAGTTGTTAGGCTGTCTGGATGATCTTAAAGTCAACATAAAATGGCATTCACAACCCAAGAGCAGGACTTAATTTTGTCTATCGGGAGTTGATTGGATCTTGAAAAGAGGTGTTAGTGTTTGTGTGACATCTTCAGAGACAGTTTTAGAGCACTAACAGTCAGTAAGCATAGATCTGTGTATAGTGCTTTTAAAATATATGACATAAACCCGAAATTATGAATAGATCATTATATTAAACTTAATTCTAATAGAACTTAAATCTTAAAAGTGTTAAATATTAAAGCTAAAACTGAATGCTAAAGGAAAAAAATCCAGATAAAAAATCGGACTAGACGACCCACATGAATTGACTAGTTGGATGTTGTTGGTTACTTGGCGACCATCCTCTACTAGATAATTGACCTTGTGGAATCAGTAGGCATTTTTTATAAAGCATGCCGAACATATGATGGCGACCAGTTATACTGGTCTGTTCAGCAGGGTAGGTGGACTCATGAGTATCCTGGAAGCACAGGCAAAAATTAAAATACAAAACCCCCAAAAAAAGAAAAAGCCAACAAAAAGTCTTCAGTGGTTTAGAAACTGAGAGAATGTTCCTTTGAGAACTATGCAAAAATAGGCCAGGCAAATAGACTCCTGCTGAAGTCCTATCTTGCACAAGGGGGCGCCGGTCTAGTGACGTACCATGCAGTCCAAACACACCGGCCCGGTACAGGGGGGCCTTGGACAGGTCAGTGAGACTGTGAGAGTGCTCGGGAGTGGGACCCACGTATGCCAGTCTGGCCCTGGGTAAGGTGGCAGAGGAGGAGCTCTCCTCCACTGTTACAGAGAAGAAAAACCCTCAACTCACACAGGAAATCAAGAAATGTCATTGAAGGATACAAGGTTGGTCTACTATGGACATAGAAGGTTTACATTTCAACAAGAGTTCTTGGGCGATTTTGCCAACTTGAACATCCTTGTTGAACCTGGAACAACTTTCCCAACACTCTGATTTTAGAACTAGGTTTAGAGCTAGGCACAGGGCTGGAGTTGGAGCCTCAACTCACATAGCAAATCGATAAATGGTATTAAAAGATACAAAGTTGGCCTACTATGAACATAAAAGAGTTGCATTTCAACAGGAAATCCAGGGTGAGTTTGCCAAGTTAAACATTCTTGTTGGTCCTGGAACAATGTTCCTAACAATTGGATTTTAAGGTTAAGGATAGGGTTGAAGCTTCAAGAACATTACCATCCTATCATTTTCCTTTTGTTTATGGGGGTGGTTATGGTAAGGGTTGGGTTTAGGAATAGGGTTAGGACTGGTTCCAGGGCAAACAAAGGATATTGAGCCAGGAACTTGGCAAATTGTGGTTGTCACAAGGGTTGATCTCCTAATGAAGGACGAAGCTTTCCTGTAGATTAAAGTAGTACACTCTGAATTGGTCTACATTTAACATCTGAGCATCTGAGAGACTGAACACCCAGATCAAGCATATGCTTTCCAAGTCCTCTATGGTCCATTTATACTAAAATCTTAAGCTACTGAACCTCTCTCTTTTGGACACAAGATCAGACACTACATTGCCAACAGTATGTGGACACCCTCTTTAAATGAGCCACTTTGACTAGGGGTCTAATGAAAACAACAGTAGCAGTATACAGTACTTCCAATTTTGTGAAGGGTCCTTTTCTGCTCCAGAATGACTACGTAAGTCCACATATACATGATTCTGGTATGGGATAACTTGATTGGCCTGCACAAAGACCAAACCTGATCTCCTATTGAACACCACTGGGATGAACACAAGCTGCGTTTGTGCGAAAGTATGCCCAATGGAAACACGTCAATTTCGCGAAAACTCCCATACATCACAAAAACATTTTTACGCTCACATGAGGTGGTTTTTCAGGCAATTCAAAAAAGGAATATTTCACAAAACTGCAATATAAACAGTTTTTTCACAATTACAGGTCACCTGGCGTATGTAAAATCTCATGATCATTCTTTAACGTACTATAACCTCCAAGAAACACCTTATACGCGGCCGCTCTCAAGTATAAGGGGCTTTCCTTGCCATTTATGCTTGGATAATCCCTTCCATCACCATGACTTACCGTGAGAGAAAAAAACCCCAAAACGTTTAAGTCGCATTACATTGGTTAATGGAAATGCTGTCATTTTGCAATAGATTTTATTGATATTTATAAAATAACGCAAAAGTTTTTGCGCAAATCTGTAATGGAAACACAGCTACTGACATTCACTGATGCTATTGTGTCTACACGGGAGCAAATCTCTACAGACATGGTTTAAAATCTAGTGTTTCTAGAAGAGTGAGAGCTGTTAGGGAGGATCAAATACTTGTTAATGGCTATGACATTAAATGTGTATCAGTCACATATGTGGTGTTCAGATGCCCACATGTAATACTTTGGCCATATAGTGTAGGCATGTTGGAGGTTTTCAGTGCAGCATGCTCTCTCTGAAAGATGGACTGAAACAAGGTAGAGAAAGTTCTTCTTGTTTCCGCCATTCTGGCTGAACATACTCTGCCTCTTACCTTTATGTGGGTAACAGCATGACCATGCTGAATGGATTAATTTAAACAGGAATTATTGCAAGAAACGCTTCTAACCATAATCAGGCCAAGGTCATATTATGAAAGGAGACACATTCTCAATGGATAACTGAGTCTCAAAGAAAACAGGAAGCATTCAAGCTTAGCTCAAATAGACTGTACAGATAGATTTAGAGGATTAGTTTATGCAAAAATGAAAATTCTGTCATTATTTACTCCCCCTCATGTCTGTCCAAACCTGAATGACTTTTTTTCTTTAATGGAACAAAAAAGAAGAAATTTTGAATTATGTATTGGCTGTTTTTTCCCAAGCAATTACAAAGAATGGAGATTACAGCTTTCGAACTTCAAAAAGCATGCAACAGTATAGTGAAAATATAAGATCAGTCCACATGACTTACTTGGTACAGTCATGAAAGTTCTTGAGAGAATCAGTTATGTGCAATCTACAAATAAACGTTGCCAATAAATCAGATGATCAGGTTAAAAGAAGCAGTCAGAATGATTTGTCAACAAATCAGACTGATTTGGTTCTCAGCTTCAGTTTACTGACTCAATGATCCAGTCACAGTGGTTAACAGCTCATCCGAGGGGAACATATTCAGGGAATAATGACTTTTACAGAAAACTGGCTTTGCTGATATATAAAATCCTATGGATACTTTTTGATATTTGATGGTGCTTTTGCATCTTCAAAAGATGCTTTAAATTCAGTTAACATTAATTGTAAGAGCACAGAAAAAAGACAAGTTCTTTAAAATGTCTTGTTTTGTGTTCCAAGAAAGTCAGTTAAGTTTTGGAAAAACATGAGTGCAAGTAAATATTGACAGAGTTTTCATTCTTGGGTGAAGTCATACCAAAGGTATGGCTGTAAGGAAGTAATATTCTGAACAATAAGTTCACACACAGATGGTGCACTACCAAAGACAATGTCTGAGCTTAGCTGTGTTACTATAGAGACAGACACTGAGCTCACAGGAGAAATATAATAATAGTCATGAATATCAAACCTCAATCAACAGTTTCAGCAGATTTGATGTTAAACATGTCATTGCATGGAGAGCAGATAAGTATTATTTAGATGTCTTCGGTGTGTGCCTAAGCTAGGGTGGTTGGAAACACCATGATGGTTTAATCAGATTTGCATAGATTTGCATTAGTACCACACTGTTAATTTTTGGATATCAATATTGGATATCAATAATACTTTACCTCTGTAGACTGTAGGTAGGGGGAGAGAGGACAAGCCCTGGCTCTGCATCTGCTGCTGCTGTTGCAATCTTCTCTTGGCCTCTAGAACTGGATTCTCAAACTGAGTCCTTCGGTTTATGTGACTGCAATCAGAAAACCAGAAACAGAGACTCATTCAGGTGCATTTCTTGAGTGACTACTTAATAGGACATGCTTATCCAACATATAAGCAATCTAGCTAGCTGCCTTGCTGTCTACTGCCTACACAGGTAGCATTTTAACTGAAGTAACTGATCTGCAACACTCTACATAGGCAGCAGCTATGAACTCCAAATAGCCAATGATTATTATGCGAAGTGCATGGGAGACTCGACTCTCAATTGATTCTAATGTGCCTGCCACTGACTGCATAATTTTCTGTGAAATCTGTCACCTCCAACTGCCAACTCCCACTTCGGCAACTAGTGTTGAGATCGTCCAAATTGAAAATTGGGGCAGAAATATGGGCAAATTTTGTTTAGTGAATTCCAGCTAACAATATGCTAACGATTAGGGCTGATTTTAACACAAATTTCATGATTCGATTCCATTCTGATTCACAAGCTTGCAATTTGATTCGATTTCTGATTCAATTCGATTCGATATCGATTATCTCGGATATTTTAGGTACAGTACATGCCAGATTTTCATTTTTTAAATGTACATTTAAATAGTGGCTGTCATAAAAACTTGATGGATTTATTCATACTACATAAATTAAACATCGAAGAACAGTAAAAATTATAATGAATATGTTATATGGTGCATATATTCATAAAATTATTATCTATAGAGTTCATGGGCCACATTTATAAAATGTTGCACAGAAACCATCCTAAATTTGATCTTACGATCATCTCTCAAATATGCATATGTGTAATTCATAGAATGAACGTACACACGAAAACGCACGTATGCCTCTCTTTCAGATGTGAAATCTAAGAATCGCAAATGATCTTGAACTTGCTCACAACTGAATGGTTTCAGCTCTCTGCCTAGTAAGCAACTCATAATTAATGTCATTAACATATAAAAGATCACCAGTCATCATCCAAATCCTTCAATTTAGAACAGCAAGCTGCAAGAACAGCTTACATTTCCAAAAACCTGCAGTACTCTGACAAGAAAAAGTGTGTACGTCTACTCAGACCCTGACGTGAAGCTAGCACTTTTCTACGTCGGCAGTTTTTTTTTACAAATATGAGCGTTGATGTGGATTTAAGCACACACACACTCAAAGATCAAATCTGTGCGTACACACACTTTATAAATGAGGCCCCATTTTTCTAGCTGAATAATGACTTTATGATCACGAATATGTATGTTTTTTTTCAGAGGTAAATGTGACGTTACGTGACATTGTTTACAAGCTGTTATATTGGCATCTTTCCGCAGTTGAAACACTGATTGAGCAATTACATGAGACAGGATACGGATTTCAGTAAATTGTACTCTTTCTTTTATCATAGCTTCGGGATGTTCATTCATGTTTATTTCGTGCTGAAACTGGTATTAAAACGGAGGAGATGATCAGTTCACGTGCGTTTCGCGCTGCCGCTTCTCTTAAGGTGCTACAGCGATCTGTCACTCCATATTAAACAGCACCAAAACGGTATTTATTGTCTAAATACTGTAATAAAATTGACAGAATTTGAAATCTGAGACTTTTGGCCAGTTTTACTAACAGATTGCGCCAGAATGCTACGTGACATTTTATTTCCACGCTGTATTGTTGATGTCTTTCCGCAGTTGAAACACTGATTGAGCAATTACATGAGACAGGATACGGATTTCAGTAAATTGTACTCTTTCTTTTATCATAGCTTCGGGATGTTCATTCATGTTTATTTCGTGCTGAAACTGGTATTAAAACGGAGGAGATGATCAGTTCACGTGCGTTTCGCGCTGCCGCTTCTCTTAAGGTGCTACAGCGATCTGTCACTCCATATTAAACAGCACCAAAACGGTATTTATTGTCTAAATACTGTAATAAAATTGACAGAATTTGAAATCTGAGACTTTTGGCCAGTTTTACTAACAGATTGCGCCAGCGCAAACCGTCTTTTGGCGTTTAGTACTGTCAGGCTTTACTAAAGATGCACAGTGAAGAATTAGCGCTGAAAATGTGTGGACAGTTATTTTTGCGCATGACCTTCACTGTAAAAAAGGATTTGAGACTTTAGCTTCCCCAACTCATTTTCCTAAGTCAGTTCAACTAAAATGTTGGGTACACTTAAGATATTAAGTTTACCAGTGCCCAACTAATCCGTTTAATCAGAGTAGTTCACGCAACAAAGATTTCTTAGTTGTATGAGTGGCAATGCAAGGAAACCCCGCCCACCGAGCCTTCCTCGTATTTTAAGTTGAATCAACTTATTTTTTTTTACAGTGTTATTGAATATGCATTTGTAGGAGTTTCCCTTTCAAACGCAAAAGTTATGGGAGGAGAGTATTCAAATGAATCACGCAACGTGTTTTACTAACGTTTGCGCTCGTCAAATTACTGGCATTTGCGCCATTATTTAACTCAAAAAAAGCATGTCTAGCAAACTATTTTGCGCTTGAAATGGCTGCAATTATTGTTGCTAGGAGGCACCGCAGAGAACAGAGAGTGCGTGGTAGAAGGGAGAGGATTTTTCCCACACGTATTAATTTATTTTCAATGCCAGAAGAACACATTATACGAACATATCGTTTGCCAAGCCATGTTATTTTTAATTTGCTTCAGGAAATAAAAGACAACTTGGAACCCTCATCTAGGAGTCAAGCAAAACCAGCTCTATCAAAACTTCATGCAACTTCTAGCATTTTTTGGCCTCCGGTTCTTTTCAACGTACTGTGGCTTCTTTATTTTTTTATTTGCGACTGCTCTAATTTGCGCTGCGCTTGGTATAATTTGCGCATTGTTAGTAAATCACCTGCAGAAATTTCGGCGCTGTTTTGGAATTGCGCTCTCGCGCCAATCTGCTTGTTTAGTAAAACTGGCCCTTTGTTTCATATCAAAAGTAACAAAGCACAAAGCTCATTGTGACTTATTTAGATGGGAGGAGCGCTACAGTGTTCTGTTCAGTAATTGAAAACAGGCAAGATTTCTTGGGATTTAGGAATCGATTACAATCAAGAAATCAATAACTTTTACCCAGCCCTATTAACGATACTGTAACTCAACTGATTTTGCTTCAGGACAAAGATGTTACATTGGACACCACGTGGTGAATGATAACTCTAGTAAAATAGTTTGTCTTGCAAAAAACAAACAAACAAACAAACAAACAAAAAACAAATATAGCCTTTAAATGTATTAAAATTACAATAAACTGCACAAAAATTGTTGACATTGGAAAACTATTTGGTAAATGCATACACTACTACAGTGTAATCGTCAGCCTACTGTGTTATGAATATTTAATATTAACTTTTTTTTTAAAGAATTTATATTGAATGAAAACTATTTATAATCCACACTTTTGATTTCATCTGCCATCATTGATTAATTATTAATTATTTAACTGAGCTTGCATATGCATTCTAGAATATTCCATTAACATTAACAATAACTTGTATATATGTACAGTATATATGATGCTGGTTCCTTGTTATGTACACTTTGAACTTCTGCAAAATCCTGCAGTATCATTACTCATGGTTGGTTATACAAATTATTTTGCCCTCCCAACAATTCACCACCCAGCAAACAAAAATTGATATGAGCCATTAATGTTATGCACTATAGATGAAAGCATTAGTGATGGGAAGTTCGGTTCTTTTCCGCGAACCGCTTCTTTCGGACAGTTCGATTCAATAAACCGGTTGAAAAAACCGGTTCACCGGTTCTTTTACGCTCGACGTAATGACGTCATTGGCGATGACGCAATGGCGTTAAGTATCGCGGGCTTAACACATTCAAATATAAAGTCAGTAATCATAACATCAGTCAATTAAAACATCATTATAATCTGATACGTTTCTTACAATTTGGATTTTTGTATCTAAAGCATCAACACATATACAGGCAGTGATCTGCAAACTAGGATGTTTTACAGTTATGACGTCAATAAATTAGTCTTCATCAGCGCAGAAACTATGCTCCACTTACTATGTATAATCCATTACGGTTTATTTGTAATTAAGTAAATTTACGTTTCGCCGGATTGCCCTTCATTCAAGTCTTCGGTTTACCCGCGCTCATAACATTAGCACAGAATCAGTTGTCCAAAAGAACCAGTTCGGTTCAGACGTGCTGTGTCAGTCATAGTAGGCAATCTGTTCAGTAGCTTCACGCTGAATCGCGCATGCGCAGTATCATCAGCTCATCGGTTCTCAAATCGGACGTGTCCGAAAGAAACGGTTCTAGGTTCAGTGTACTGGTGATCCGAAAACCGATGCAACCGGTTCTTGACTCGAGAACGAGAACCGCTCCAGCAGTGGGCATGTACGCTCGTTATCCGGCTGCTCTGCTCGTGTTCATCTTCAGTTCTCTCTTCACAGCAGTTCAGTCAGTGTACTGTTTGAGTAAATAAATTACTCCGGGATATTGGTTTATTTCGACTCAGAGGGAGTGTCAGCCATGTTAAAAAAGTGAATAACTTAAGTAATTTGTGGATTAATGCTTACTGGAGACGCGAACCGTTTCAAATGATTCAGTCAGATTTGGTGAACTGGTTCAACCGGTTCACTAAGAAGAACCGGTTAAATCGAACGATTCGTTCGCGAACCGGACATCACTACAAAGCATGAGTGTTGATTTTAATACCCTTTAACAAATCATTTAAGGCAGTGGTCATTGAGTCAAACATAAGCCTAGTTAGTCCTCATCTTTGTTAAAAGAGTGATGTAAGAATGAGATCAGACAGTAATGAGAGCATCCTCTGATCTGGAAGAAAAATGGTTCTTTTGACTCTTTGTACAACACTTGCTGGCAGAGTTAATTCAATCTGTTTTAAAAGGCACTGCTGAAAACCGTGCCATTTGAGAGTACAAAGACAATTAGGCTCCATTAAAAGGCATTCTTTTGAAAAGAGGTATTGTTTTTTGTAAAGACGTGGCATTTGTAATTACAGCTTTGTGCCAAGACTCCACAAGGTCAATTTTTGAGACATTGGTTTTAGATTTCTTTTAAGGTCTAAAGCCTGAAATTGATTCAACAGATCAAAGTATAATGAGCAAATGGATTTTGTCCCTAGTACTTTATCTGAGTTCAGTTCCATACTTTCTTGTAGCACATTAGGCCAAGGTTTGGCAAAGTGGAAACCAGCCTTGGAAGTGGTTCTGGCTTGGTCCTATTAAATAACGGCTGTAAGGATAAAGTGATGCCTGTTTAACCTGAAAATACAACACAAATACAAATGATAAGCTTTATGCATAATGTTCTTGTTAAGCGTCTCCTCTAAAAAGCCACTAGGCACAGATTTATAGTAAATTATAGTCATTTCACACCAGATGCAGCTTCTGATCTTCCAGCTGTCATCTTCCACAACATAAAACCCACAGTTGTACAATTACTACTGAAGATGTGTTTTTCTCCCGTTCCATACAAAGACAAACGAAAAGAGTGTACACTATGTTTTGTAGCTTTAAAAAAAATATATATTACTAATAATAAATGCATTGGATGGGTGGATGGATGGACAGACAGATTAGACAGACAGACAGACAGAGACAGATAGATAGATAGATAGATAGATAGATAGATAGATAGATAGTAAAAAATAAAATAAATCATTAAAACGACAAACCCACAACAACCCAAAGCAGGTTTGTAGATAGACTGTTACAGTATGATTTCAATTCAGTGACGTGAAGTGCCAGAATCCCATCTGAGCCATCTGAGGACAGCAGGCATGGATGCAGTCCTGCATTTATGATGCTTTGATGATTTGAAAGAGTGTGCGGTTATGTATTCACATGATACTACAGCTGCATTATTGGCTTTGGGCTTGCTGTTCTCCTCTGTCCTGGAAGGAAGAGTAGCCAAGCAAGCCATACTATAAATAGTCACACCTCACCCCAGACTGTGCATTAAGCAAGAAAAATGATGGCACACACACGCAAACACACTGCGAACTGAATTAGGAAACAACGGAGCAGCTGTTTTTCGGCCTGGGCATGGCACAGCAGCAATATAACCAATTAATACAGAGCTGTGAGAAAACCCAGGGATCCAAAGTGCCATTAAACCGTGCGTGTTAACTCAAGCGCTTGAACTTACTCAACATAGTAGGTTCCATAAACAGGGTCATCGATTTTCTCCCAGCCATAAGGAAGCTCTGAAAAACAAACAATAAACAATTACATCCACAAGAACATTTAATTCAAAGGTAGATGTTGCAGTTATAGAGTAAAAATTCTGTTTTATTAGGATATATTGGCTCATTCTCTGGAAATGGTGCCATTTGTGGGCTTTGTGTGTCCCCATGACTTACTGATACAATTAACGGAATACTGAACTTAACATTATTATTTGAAAGATTTAGTGTGCAAATGCGCAATACCTTTTAAAATAAAGCATTAATTTTATTCTTAAATGTTTTTCACAATATCATCCAATTTGCAGGCCCTCATTTATCACCATGACATTTTAATGGGTTGTAAAGAATAAAATATGTTGCTTTTATTGAAATTATTATTTTGTGTTTTCATTGCCTGTGTATTTTTTTCTAAACACTTTTCTGAAAATTGCAGAATCTATCTTTGTCCTTGCACTTTCTGATTAACTCCATTATGCTGTGACATTCCTGACTTTAAAAATAATGGTTTGATTTTCAGACATCTTAAAAAAATATTGTGATAAATTTTTAAATAGCGAAATACTGTTTGTGGCACAAAATACAAAACAAATGTGCAACTAAATGAAATAAGACAGACATTTGAATATACATTTAAACATATCTATCTAAGATAGACAGATAGATAGATAGATAGAGAGAGAGATAGACAGACAATTTCCACCGTTCTGCAATAACCTTCTCAAATGTAATAAATAAATAATCTAATAACTAAATAATATTCTTAGCACAGTACTAGCATAAATAACACAGATTCCCAAGAATATCCTGTATTCATTGTCTGTCCTAACATTTCCTGTTGCTTAATAAATGAGGGTACACTGAGTTGGTGTCACACCATATATAATAAGACAGAGAAAAAAAAATCTAAATTCATTTGTCACAGAGGCTGTGTCATTCGGCTGAAATCTTATTATTAATATTTAGACTAAAATATACATATACGAGTACACACTTGAATGCACACGCTCCATATAGCATGCACACCCGCTGAGCTTCTAGAAGAAAGTGACAAGGAGACACGATTTCAAGCAAGCACACACAGACTCATATGATACATTCAGCAGGGTGAAACACCAGACTCTGTGTGTACATCACACACAACTTTGTAAATTACAAGTGACAGAAACTGTGTGATGTTCTCACTTAATCTGGCTGGCGCGCACACAGACACACACACACACACACACCC